CAAACTCCATTCGCCCCACCGCTGCGAATGGAGGAGATAAACTCAAAAGATTAAAAAACACAACATTATCATCTGCCGTTGAAGGTTTTTTAAGGAAAATTTCAATCACATTTTCCAATTTTAATGGAAGCATATCCAAACCCCATTCGCCCCACCGCTGCAAAAGTGTCGGTCCCACAAAACCAATCACATGATTGCTGGCGGCTGGTCCTCATATCAGCGACTCCCAACCGTTGATATTAACTCAGTTATCCCCCGACCGTGGGCGGGTCCACACCAGATTAGTCCCTCTCTGAATAGTTACCTACGACGCACACTATCTATAAATGTAATCGATACGCATATACTTTCGAGGTTTTCTATTGCATTGGCTGGGTTTTCGATTTTCGCGTTTGTCAGCTTTGGGGTTCGTCTACATTTCGATGAGAATGTAAATCAGGTGAAATTTGAAAAAAGACGAAAGATCACGTCTTTGAGTGAATTTCATTTTATGAGTTTGTTTTGCTGTTTCTTAGATTTTTATGTTGAGTTGGAGATATTTTTATTAGATTGGAAGAAAAAGAGAAGGAAATAAAATAAATTGTTCTTTAATTTGTTCATTGTGTTGACATTTTCTGTGGATTGTGCAAATGGGGATTTTGGATTTGGACATTTGGAAAGATTGCTAAATCTAGGAACTCAGATACGTTGTTATTTATGGTAGCTTTGATGTCCTGAGGGCCCATGTCTTTCAGTAAGCACTTAGTTGCAAATAATTGCAGAATTTAGGTAAAAAATTTAGGAACAAAGAGTAGAATGTAGGGATTTTGTTTTGAATTTGGATGGAGAAAGTATGACATTTTGGTTTTAGCGGGGAATCTAGTAGATTCAGGCAAGAAAGAAAGTTTTTTAAAAAAAGGAAAGGGAAATTGTGATCTTTCTTTTTTCCTGCATTTATTGTGACGTTAGAGAGAAACGAGCAATTGTTTTCTTGCCTATTTTCATGACCTATATTGGTAATAGGAATTCTCAATGCACCTTTGATTTGTTCTTTTCTTCAAACAGAAGTCATCATTGATTTTGATATGAGAAGTTGTTTCAAGAGATGATACTACCTGCATATAACCCACGTGCAGAACAATGTACAGGAGCATTCGAAATTATAATCGAGCTTTTATCATATGCCTATTTTCGCTAGCAGATGAGATTTTCGAAACTTGTAACTCGGATTAAAGGTTCCAACCAAATTGTCAAGCGCCAAAATCTTTCTTTTGGCTGCCTCAGTGCATTTATTTTCTAATCTAGCTAGTGGAAGGTACACATTTGAGAAATCTGAATCGAGTTGAAATTCAAGAAAGAGAAAGCAAATGAGGAATCTTATTTTATTGTTAGTTAATCGGCTGCCTCATAACTGCATTGGCTTTCTTAAACTTTTCTATGCAGAATGTTTGAGTGATACAGTTTGCAACTCTGAGGATAACAAAAGGTGCTTATTTGGCTGCAGATATGAGCCCCATGAACTTCTGCAATCTGTAATGGCAATTGACATCCTCTTTGGCTCGAATAGAGCTCAAATCATAAGATAATCCGAACACAGATAGGTCCTTATATTGTGCCCGCTTTTTGTTCAAAGGACTAAAGATTAACAAATAAAGTCATGGAGTTCAACCCACCCAATAACCCCGAAAAAACACTAAAGCATTTTCCATTGACTCCTTTCAGAATTTTCAGGGGCGTGCTATGTCTTGCAGTTTATCTTTCAACCGCGTTCATGTTCTTAGTCTATTTTGTGCCGCCAGTTTCCATAATACGCTTGTTTAGTGTACATTACAGTAGAAAATGTGTATCCCTCTTGTTTGGCTTGTGGCTTGGTTTATGGCCCTTCTTTTTCGAAAAAATAAACCAGACGAGGTTCATCTTTTCTGGGGACAGAATCCCAGTCGAAGAACGTGTTCTAATAATGTCCAACCACAGAACAGAGGTCGACTGGATGTATCTGTGGAATCTTGCACTAAGGAAAGGATGCTTGGGATACATAAAGTACGTTCTCAAGAGTAGTTTGATGAAACTTCCGATTTTCGGGTGGGGATTTCACATCTTGGAGTTTGTTCCAGTGGAGAGGAAGTGGGAAGTTGATGCGCCAATTATGCGCCAAATGCTTGATAGCTTTGCTGATCCTCGGGACTCATTGTGGCTTGCTGTTTTTCCGGAAGGAACTGATTATACGTAATAAATCTCATCCTTACGTTTTATTTCCTAAAGTCTTAAAAGTTGGTTCATTTCTTTTTTCTATTTTTTTTTTTCTTTTCCCCNTTAAAAAAAAAAAAACTGTTATTTTCTTGGTGTTGCAAGTATTTTACCTTTTTAGAGGGGTGTCTCACAAAACAAAGTAAAACCTCATGGGTAAATATTTGTAATTATAGAAAATATTTGAATCTTTTTTTTAACTGTTTCTTATGTCTTAGTTTATCCTTAGTTATTGGTTGCTTAATTAGATGTTTGGTTACAAGATGTGTTTGTCATTCACTATGCTGGTTGTAATTTTTTCATAGAAAATAATATATTTGATCTATGGCCATCCTTCTCTATGTACAGTGAACAAAAGTGCAAAAAAAGCCAGAAGTTTGCCATTGAAAATGGATTACCAATACTGAAAAACGTGTTGATTCCAAAAACCAGAGGTTTCTTCGCTTGTTTGGAGATCCTAAGAGACTCCTTGGATGCAGGTTTTTTTTTTCCCTCCTAATTTTTGACAGAAGAAATTATCATTAATGGTTAGTCTATTTTACACAAGAAATCCAATATCTTCCATGGTCAGGAAAACGTTCACAAATTGAACGAGGCATGTTTGTTCGGAAAGTAGTTTTGAATGATAAAATTGAGTTTTATCGCAAGTAATGCTAAAACACAGGAGCAATCTATTTTCAATTTATCCCTTTACAGAAGGGAACTGTGTCTGTTACCTTATTTACATTTTCATAGTTTCTTTAAGTAAATTCTTGAAGAATTATCTGCTGTAATGGTCAAGATCATTGATGATGTACAGTACTTCATATTTGCATATAATGGCCTTCTGATGTATTTTTTTTCCATGTCCTAATAGATTAACAAGATTTTGCTCATCTGTTAGCTTCATAACATTCAGTCTTCTTAAAAATCATTATCTGTTGTCACAGTTTATGATGTGACAATAGCATACAAGAACCAGTGCCCATCTTTCCTGGACAATGTCTTTGGCGTGGACCCATCTGAAGTACATATTCATATCAAACGCATTACTCTCGATAAAATCCCATCATCTGAAGACGAGGCTGCCACCTGGCTTATGGAAGCATTTGTTCTAAAAGATCAGTTGCTTACTGATTTCATTGTAAACGGTCAATTCCCCAATCAAGGAACTGAAAAACAGCCCTCGACTGTGAAATGCGCTGCTAAATGCGCGGTTGTAATAGGTTTTACGGGTGTCTTCATTTTTCTAACATTTTATTCGTACGTTTGGTTTAGGTTATATGTAGGTTTAGCTTGTGTGTACTTGGCTTGCGTTGCGTATTTCAATATTAGACCTGGTCCTGTTGTTGGTGCTCGAGATGCAATAAGCGAGGAGAAAATGTTTTAAGTAATTGGACGATTATAGAACAGCTTTGGTAACTTTAATTTCATTTTGTGATGCATATAAACATCAACAATTCTTCTGTTACGCTTGACAGTCATACTGTTTCAACATATGTAATATACGTGGATATTTTCACACTCAATCATACTTAAGAATACTTTTTCACCAAACGTTTTGAGATGAAAATGATTGATATCTTATTGTTCCATTGGGCATTCAATATAATCTTATTTTCTGGCTTTTAAAAGAAGCCAAGCAAATGTATCAATCTCAAATATTGTGGATTAGCCTCCAAAATTCAACAACGATCGACAGAAAGTCCAAATCCAACTTCTTATCTCTTCACATTCTCGCGTAACTTGTAGTCTCATGATATCTAATGTTTGATTTCTCTACACACACTTTTATCTGCACCTAGTTTACCAGATTGTACAGTGAAACTATTTCAAGAGTCATTAGCAGCATCTACAGAAGTTTCAACTCAAGAAATTGGAGTCGTTTTTCATCAGATGAATTGCTTCAAGAACTCTGTAGCAACGAGCCTCCCCCGTGAGTTGACAGACATTTTCAGCTCGCTAATCTCTTTGTCAATGTCCTGCAATTCAATCAACAAGGCAAGGTTTGAATATATCTCCATGAAAATTCAATCTACTCAAAATAAGTTATGATCCATCAGCCTTGAACCACCACCACTTTTATTGCAAAGCAAACCTTATAATATGATACTATTATTTCTATATCATTACAAGCCAAAACAACATGTTAACTTATGCAAGGTAGTAATACAAGTGAGGGCTAATTATATGTACCCTAAGATTTAGTGTAATTTTTAATTTTTTATTGATAAGTCTCTGAAAGTTGAAAAAAAAAAAAACATCTCGGGCAGTTACAAAAAGCCCTTTCGGGTTCATATCTATGTCACAAAGTACTCCCACCATTCAGTACTATTTGTAAAGTAGATACCTAAACCAAGCAAGTACTTATTTTGAAGGGAAATTACATAGAATACCCTTGAAGTGTGACCCAATAATATGACACAAATTCTTGTATGAGACGGCCTAGCCGTTAGACGGGTCGACCTATCATACCTTTGTAACAAAAACGCATACTTATGTAATATAAGCAGCTTAAAAAAAAAATCACTATATACCCTTCAAATTTCATACAACCGACTTCAGAAGGAAGAGGCAAATTGAAAATTTCCCTTTCTGGTTATAAAGAAAATTTTGATAAGCCCTTACATATCAGAAGCTTTTTGAAAAATATGAGAGTTATCCGAGTGTTTTTTCATTCTTTCTTAAAGCCTTCTCTTCCATCAATCAAAATCAAATGTCATGTAACAATTTACTTTTAATCCCAGAAAAATCCATGGAAATTAGCAATATTTTGTGACATCCAACGTGAACTATCTGTAACTTGCATATTTCAATAAATACAAAGTTAATGAATGAAAACTAGAGATACTTACCTCCATGAACTGAACAATAAAATCTATAAGCTTTTGCTTCTGCATCTCCTCACAATGAAAATTAGTGATAAGAAAACTGATATCATATCCCTGAGAAATGTAAACGGTTGAAAAGAGTAATGTTAGAAGTCTGTCAATAAACAGGCAACAGCTATGCAAATCAGGTAAGCAATATTAGCTAAAGCAAGAGGGTACACAACATTATGGTGTGTCTTTAAGTACATTGCGTCAGAATAGCTCTTTTATGAAAAAGTAAAACAAGGAAAAGAAAAAAGTTCCACCCTACAAGTTCCCTTAAGATGAACACGAATCAACTAACAGATATAATACGTGAACGAGAAATATATCCAATATTTACAGTTGTAGAAGCAGGTTCATGCTCTGTGGACTAAAAGGCGTATTGGCTTAATTCTTAAGTTAATAGAATCTAATGACTAATAAAGGATGCAGACCTGCACTGGTTTTCTCCTCAATACTTGAAATGCCTCTGCTCTCATAGATAGAAATCTGAGAAATTTCTTTGTAAGTATGTTCTCAAGTTCATCTGCCTGCTTAACCTACAATAGAGAACGCCATCAGAAAAATAAAAAAATAAAAAATACAAGTGTTCTTAACTTTGAGATATCTATGATAAGAGTATACACATTGCAAAAAGTGGCAAGCTCAAATGGAAGTCTTAATTATAATACTTCCAACATTTTCAAATAAACTTGCTTCGGAGGAAATTAAAGATTTCATTTTGCAGACAAGTAAAAGATGTTTATGTTGTAGTAGAAACAAATGTATCAGGTCGGAGTAGAAAAGTAGTCTTCGAAATTCTACATTTATAATGAAGGAATGCACTTATACCACAACAATATAGGCAAGCTATGTTGGAAAACAGAATACCAGCATAACTAAAGATGTTCAAAATTATTGCTTTGGGAGGCAACTAATGCATCAGTGCTACAATCCTTGCTACTTGGACCACCTGACAACCTAATATAAAACTAGCTCATCAGCAACAACATAACATGCCAATTTTAACTGACAAAACAAACAACGAAGCCTAACAGCATAACTGTTTACGTTGAAAACGCAAATCATTACGCTTTAAAAATCAATTTCCATGATGTGGAAGGCGACAATGGATCACTAAAACAGGGAATATTGGTTTATCTAGATAAGATGATATACAGCATAGAGCTTGGGTTAACACTTCGAAGGAATTCTCTCCTCAGTACTACCCAAACAATTTCTCCCAAGATCCGATACTTGCCCCAAAACTTGGCAATGAATGATTAACAGAAATCTGCAAAAAAAAATTAGAGAAACACTCCTGTTTCCGAAATGTGGTTTTAACAGTTAAACCTGCATCTCACCTGTTATCTGTGAATTCATATTACTCCTAATAAGAACACATTATAGAGCATCACCCTTGACTTGGAAAAGAAACGACTGCTTCCCAAGTAAAGCCAAGTTTCCAAGGTGAAAACTAATAATGCCCAAGCCTTTCTGCCATAAGATCATCATAAAATCAATGGCCTTTACCAAAGGATCACCTCCTTTCTGTTTTCCCTTTTCACATTCACCTAAAAGCTAATAGTAGAATGCCATCAGAACTTGGATCTTTCATGGCAAAGTTTTCATTGACTATTGGCCATACTAAAGTAATAAACCACATTTCTTACTGAGATAGATTACTTTTGGACTTCATGAATCATGAAACATCAATGGTTGGGCTTAGAATATATGCAAATATAGCAACAGCATATAAAAACATTACCATACCATCAATGTCAAAGAAACGAAGATAAGTAGATCTGAAATTAAAAAAGCTAATCAATGTGAAATGTAAAGAAACAGTTGACAAAGAGTTTATCAATGCTTTCAAAATTGACAAAGAAGGGGAACTAACAAATAACATGCCAGAATTTACCTTGAGGCTTATCCGTAATGAGTTTATAGACGTTTCTATCAAACATTTCTCAGCCTCATTTCTGCAGATTAGAACCTGTGAGATGGTATGTGATAGTAGTTACAGAAAGTTAGTATAATCCAGTAAAAAGTAGGGTCTAACTAAAATATAATTTTCATATACAAGTCACTATATTAGTAGAGATGCTTATTTGGAGAAAGAGACGGGCAACATGATTTACATTCACGTAACAGAAAGTACTTAGTCAACGAACACATGAGGAAAGCTCAAGAGAGGTACACTTATGAGGATAACATGGAATAGATTAAACAAGTCTTGTCCATGCTAAGAGGATTCATGAAAATAATCCTTTTACAAAGAGTGTGAATAGCATATTTTACAACATCCAAAACCATCGAAAAGCATGAGTAACTCGAAGATTGTATGTATTACCAGTCTGTGGAAAAGTCAATTTTACAAATAAAGTTCTCAAATAACGATAACTAATAAGCTAGGACTCAAGGAAGGATGACGTTCCTTTGCTTATTGTCAACCAAGCCAACTATACCTACTAGGAGCAATGGTAAGGCATATACTTTTCAAGCTGGTTCACTTTACATCAATAAAGTACAATACGATTACATCTTTCTGCATCACTAATATTTTCTCATGAAGAATTAGGTACCTCTATAATTAATGTTTTTCAGCAATAAGGCCACACATGTAGTTTCATTACAAGTTTGGAAATATAAAACAATCACCTAAAGTATAAGCGAAAGCTTTCGAGTAATCCTCTCACCATATTTATATTTCAATGCCACAAATTCTTTGGTGTAGTAGCAAACTAGCAGCTAGGTACAATTTAGAACCACACACCAATCGTTAAATTTCATCTAGACCAATATGATGAAAACAATTGGATGAAAATTTAAGTCAGCATACTTAGAGAAGAAGATTCTTACAGGATTCAGAAGAAGCTCCGGACTCGTCCTGAAAACCATAAAGCAACGATTGAGACCTGCTTGTAGTTGGTATCACAGTTGGATATAGCTAAACTTCCAATTTAACTCCATCAGCAATATTCAGAACATAAACACTAAAAAATAATTTCAGGACAGTGGCATATAATTCATACATCCACTGAAGCAGTTTCCCCAAAATTACAGTTACAGCAAAAATCTTTGAACAAGATGAAGTCAAGAAACTAAAGCAGTTTCAAGAAAATCTCTAGTGAGGTGAGCGTCAAAATTGGTACAATTCTATTTGCCCTATGCTGAAATGGAGCACTAAGTTTGATTTTCTATTGGTTAACATCATACAACAAAGTGGTCAATCAAATGTCAATTAGAAATAACTCAATACTCATTCACTATCAACAAAACAAGAATTAAACAGTTCCTGCAGCAAGATCATTATACCATAACCCAGGAAATTAAACTTTGCACAATTTTTTGTGTGAGACAGCCTAACTGTCAGCCGGGTCGACCCGTCATACTTTCTTTTTAGCAAAAATGCATTTTATTTCAAGAAACGCCATACTCTTTAACAAATGTGTGCGCCAAAATTGATATTTTGTTAGCTCATCCAATCTAACTGCACAGGCAGCCTCATGCGGACGGACGAAAGTTCTAAATACAACCTCTGCCCTCAATACATAACACAAAAAGATCAAAGCAATCACCAAAGATAGATATAGGAAAAGAACATAACATACTTGAGTTCAACTTCCGGTTTATTGTGCCTTTCAACTTCCTGACAGGGGAAATTCTACAAAAGACATAGCAAAAGCAGAAATTTATGGATCAGTCAAACAAATAATCGTAAACCTCACGATAATCAATAGTAATTTGAGAAAAAACAATGAGCTACACAACTATCCACCCCAAAAACGAATCAAAATAAAAAATTATAATCGGTTTCACTTTAAGCTGCTGAAAATGAACAAAATCATATACCTGTAAGCACAATGCGGCTTCCAGGGTGTTCCGGATGCAGGTCAAGTACAATCGAAGTGAGTTCGCCTGCGAATTTTAGAACATATTAAAACAGAAAATCAACGACTTCACATGAAAATTCAGCAAGAGCAAAAGATCATGTACATAAAAACAGAGACTTCAATGCGTGTTAATGTGTTTCAAAATAGTTACAGCAAAGTCTCACCATCATTGCGTGTTACGAAATTATAGGTCAAGAACTGCGGATGGATGGCGGATCACGGATCGATTACTTTTGCTTTATCCCTAAAAACCCAATATTCCAGTGAGGAACTGAGAAGAAATAACGGTTGGTAGGGGTGGCCAAACGTGCTGGCGTCACCGGGCCCAATGTATTTGGAGTTGGAACCGCCGGGGAAAGTACAGTTCCGGTTCCTAAAACAGACGGGTCGGTTCCTATTTCTGGTAAGCCTATTTTTCTTTTATGGTTACTGGTAATACCACAATATAACCATAAAAAAAAAATGAAAAATGAAATTTTGAAATGTTGAAAACTAGTCATTTTGACTTGTGAAAATACCATTATACTCCTCATCTCTAGCGGTAGTACCAAATTTAATTTATATTTGGCAATTTGCAAAAAAAATAAAAAAATGACTAATTTATAAGGGAATTAGTTGAAATAATGAGTTATTCAATGGTAGATGTTAAAAGAGACAGAAAGCTCATGCCGCGAGCTTTGTCGCGGAGACCTTCACGACGGCAGAGACTAGGATTCGACCAGACGACACCCCGCCGCGCCGCGAGGGTCTGGAAGTTAGTGGAAGTTGGCTATGGCAAAATTAGTTATTCATTTGAATGTTTAAATTGTGTTAGGTGTTATGTGTGATGTTAGTGACTTATATCAGATTTTCATTATTCAAGTTAATAAATATAAAAAATGCTAGTTTTCGAGCACAAATCGTATCTAAACCAAGGTCGTTAGCGCGGGTTTTTAACAAATTCGAGAGTTCGATACACGATTTGCAAGATTGGTGCTTTCATCTAGAGTGCTAATTAATCGTGTATCACCATGACAAATCAAGAGAGGCTGGAGCAATTGGAAGAGAGAATGCAATAAATCTGAAGGAGAATGCGAATTTTTTAATGAATTCGCGGTGGACGGCGATGTTTCTCAAGGGGTTCGAATCATAAGGAAAGGCAACACCATGAGAGGCCTAAGTTAATTCTTCCCACCTTTAATGGAGTGGATCCGAATGCGTGTTGAATCACGCTCGCCAGTATTTCGAGATCAATGACAACCAAATTTAGAAGGGTTAAATATACCGCCTGCCGCCTCGACGGGGAAGCGAATGTATGGAGGCAATGGTTGTCGAGGATTTATCGAAAGGAAAATATGCCGATCCGTTGGAAGACCTTCGAAAAAGAATTGATTACAAGGTTCATAATATTTGATTATTATGATTATGATGAAACTCTTTCGCATATTATGATTGATAATTAAATAATATAAATGAATAATTCTTAAACATTAAATCAACTTTAATTTACTATTCACCCACTTACATAATTTTAACTAACCATCACTTCACATCATCTCTCTCCCACTTTTACATCAAATCAATTTTAATTATTTTACTTCAAATATTATTTTAATATAAAATCAAAACCACACTAACAACTAATCATACAACATTTTTTAAAATTAACTCTAGTTAACCAAAAATACTCATTTTGAGCGGATATATTTGTTTATCGGAGTTGTCTGTTGTGGTGTTTCGGGGGAAGTCCCCAGCCGCCAGTCTAGGTCGAGTTAACTGTAGGGGGAGTCTCTCGACCCGTGTGTTTTTGGGCTGGGGGCCGGAGGCTATTCCGTTTCCCACGTTGGAGTAGTTTGGGTGGCGGAGGTGCCGGGTGCTGATCAGTTGTAGGGGAGGGCGTCCTGTTTTTTGTTATGTTTTAGTTGAGTATCGTGATTATGTGTTTAGTTGAGTGTTTAGTTTTGTGTATTTAGTTCTATGTTTTAGGTTCCCGTTTGGGTGTGTGTTATTCTCCCGTTGGGAGTTGTGTTTATTCTCCTGTTGGGAGATTGTGTCTTTTTTCTAGTGTGTTGTATTTAGGTTGGTTCTAGGCTATCTTGACTTGTTGTCTTTGGGGTTAGTCCTCTCAACTAGATTCAACTGAATAGCTGACTTATTCGGCTGTTTAACTGCTTTCTAGTGTGTAATTATGTGTTTTTA